CAGTGCGGGAACAATGACAATACCTAGTAGTTTTTCTCAAGTATTACTGAAAGTAATAACACGCTAATAGTTTTAAGTTATTTAATAATACAAACTTTTTACTCATTTAACCTAAATCAATAGACTCACTGGAAACATTTTAGTTATATTTTAGATCAACTCAGTTTTATTCATTTTTAAACACTTATTTTAAACATTTTAGACATTTTTGTTTTTTTTTTATTCATTTATTTAAAACTGCTTTTGCAGTTTATACAAGGACACGTTTCAAATTTTTTTTTTTTGTCTTTTTTTTTTTTCGTGCCCGGCAACGGACCGCAACCCTCAGTGCCGCGCCCATACCGGACCGGGACTGGCAACGGGATCGCAACCCTCGGTGCTGCGCCCGCCCCTCGCTCAGCCAGTGAGCGGGAACCGGTCTGTATGTGGGATCCGAACCCTCAGTGGGAGCGCCACCGCGCTTCCCAAGCGGGTGCACTGTAGCAGTGTGCCACCGGGCCGGCCCTCAAATTTTTTAAAGTACAAAAAAGTACAAAGTGTAAAGTCCTGTTCCCATCCTCCCCAAAAGGAAATATACTTCGAGGTGGACTGTGAATACATGAGCAAAAGCAGTGCTGTTTGTTCAGTGTATTTAATTATTATATGTAACATTACGCATCTTTTTTCCATTTATATATATATCTTGGCAATCTTCCCACTTTGGTAGATAAAGAGCTGCCCCATTCATTCTAATGGCTGCACAGTGTTGTGCTAATGGATATTTCATCATTTATTTAACCAGTCCCTACTGAAAGACATTTAGGTTGTTTTGCAGGGTGAGCTACTCAATCTGCAATGAAGATCCTTATACACACATCCTTTTAAGTGTGAGTAAAGTGTAGGATAAATAGATTCAGAACTGGTCAATGATAAACAGGTTTGGAACATACGTTTTTACAGTTTTGAAGGACAGGACAAAATTGCTGAATATGGAGGCTGTATCAGCTTACATTACCATCAACAATCTAGCCTTCCAGTTTCCTACCCAGAGGTAGCCAAAATTACCAATTTTTGATGTAAAGAATAATACAAAAGTCCAACTCTATTTTTTTCCAGATGGTTACCCAATTGTCCACATACCACTTACTCACTTACTGAGTAATCTGTGAAAATACTACTTTTAAGCAACACAAACCTTTTAACTTTGTAGATGGTATTCAAATTTCAAAATCCAGTTCGAAAGACTAAGGTTATTTTCATGCAGATGAATCCAAAGCCCAGCTTTTATGTCAACATGTACAGTATGAACATGTTATATAACAACAAAATAATTGTAAGAAAATAAGACTTTGTTAAATTCTATTTTTCTTTCTCAATAGGAAGAAAGAGTGCTGAGCAAGGTCTGGATATGTCAAGATTACCAGTGTTCTCACTCCAGGAGAAGAGCTACATTAAAGGCACATCCGATTTCTTGGGATTAGGTCATTTTACTACTCGATACATTACAGAAAAGAAGTACTCCTCCCGCCAAGGGCCCAGCTACCAGAACGATCGTGACTTAGTAGAACTGGCTGACCCAAACTGGCCAGATCTGGGGTCAAAATGGCTATATTCTGTGCCATGGGGATTTAGGAGGCTCCTCAACTTTGCTCAGGTGATTATCAAATTAAGCTACTTAAAGGACGTTTTTGACCTGAATTTATGTTCTCATGGCTTAAGCAAAGGTCCTTACATTTGAAAGTTAAAAGAACAAGCCCAGTTATTCATATTTCAGAGACTACTCACTATAGGCCTTCTAGACTAACATTATAAATTATTAACCATTTCTTTGCATATAACTTTAGCTAAAATTCTTATCGCACATTTAGTTATTTTTCCGCCCTTCTCACCTGAAATGGAATCTGTGGAAAAGAAAAAGACCTAAAGTACATTTTCCCCCCAACAGTACTGATTTATTGACAAATACATTCTTTCATATGAACTTGCCTCCTGCCTATATTCATGTGTAAACAAACATGTTAACTGGTACCTACTAAACACAAAAATACACTTGATTAGAATGTGGCAGGCTTGACTATGTGTTCCTATAGCAGCCTCTGATTCAGAAACCCACCTGTAAGTCACAATTTTTAAGATATGCGTTTCTATGACTCACTTTCAGACTCAATATGGCGATCCTCCTATATATGTGACGGAAAATGGAGTATCTCAAAAACTACACTGTATTCAATTATGTGATGAGTGGAGAATCCAATACCTTAAAGGATACATAAATGAAATGCTAAAAGGTGAGATAACAACCAAGACTGTTCTTCATATATTTTTCTATTTAACTTAGACAAAATTTGGTAACACACATGACCTAAAACTTGCTCCTAAATCTCATAAATGAAAACATTTTAACATTATCTTCACAATATTATTTTTCTAAGTAAATAAAATACATTAAAAATAGAATACCAGCTCCCCCAAAAAACAAAAACAAGTAAAAATGGAATAAAATGTCTTTGCAGCTATAAAAGATGGTGCTAATGTAAAAGGGTATACTTCTTGGTCTCTGTTGGATAAGTTCGAATGGGAGAAAGGATACTCAGACAGATATGGATTCTACTATGTTGGATTTAAAGACAGAAAAAGGCCTCGCTATCCAAAGGCTTCTGTTCAATATTACAAGAGGATTATCACTGCCAATGGGTTTCCCAATCCAAGAGAGGTAGGACTGATTTATTGATGATATGTGTTCTGAATTTTAGAAAAGCTAGGCAGCTGGGGTGCACAAAGTCTGGCAAGCACCTCTCCTC